TTGATTCTTAGAGCACATTCACAATACATAGGATTTTTATAGCGTGAGAAAAATTGCATCATATACGATGTTGATATGATGGTAAACGAAGAAATTACAAAAAAAAGAATGATGACGTTTGACTTAAGACGAAAATATTTTGAAGACTTTTAGAATATATGAAAACAGTATTATTTGTGTCTGGTTCGTATACATACCTTTTTTTTTTGTTATGACGGTTAATCAATAGTAACCGTGGTATATTATACATTACACTGGTACCTAGGATTTTACGGGACGGAAATACATACAGTTCACTACCTACATCGTGTAATAGTTGGTGGGTAAATAATTTAGTGAATATATTAGCAAGGTTTTCAAAAACTTGCTTTTGATTGTTTATTTAAGTAAAAATACACGGAAACCGACCATAAAAATCTGATGCAGCCGCAAGGTGACTTGTACCTGTGTATACTTAAGTGTGTGTGCGGTGTTATAATAATATACACAAAGTCATGAAATGCAAATAATGTATATTATAATAATGGTTTTATTATCATAATAGTACAATGGTTTCAAATAACTTATAATTAATATGAATTATACACAAGAGGAGAATAAAATACCGAACAAGATGAACCACTGAACGTCACTACTTTACAAATATACATGGAAAAGGCACGCTACTTTATTAAGTCTTAAATATAAATGCGTATGTATATTTGATATTACATATTATTTAAATCATTTGATATCAACTCGAAATAAATTGAGAGCCTAAATTTATGGTTAGGGAWGTGGGTTAAATGAAAATTGTCGAAATGCGTACATTATTCTGTAGTACACAAAAAATAAAAAAAATATGAACTTGACGCTTAGAGGTGTGTTCCTCATCGGCACCACGTCCGTCGTTCGCGAATATATTATAATAATATTATACACTTTATATATACTAAGAGTCACATGAGACTCTTATCATTCAACGTCTGACGACGTCATACCGGTYGACTTGTCGTTGCTTTTGCCACTGCCACAATCGTCCATACGGCTATTGTGCAACAACTGACTCATGACGTCGGCCAGTCGCTTGGTCTGTGTCGCGTTTTCCTTCATCAGCTTCTCCATCCTGGTAAAGTGCCGGTCGTGCATGGACAGCGTGTCCCGGTGCACGCGGACCATCTGTTCCAGTATCTGTTCCAGCACGTCTGGTTGCTGGATGTGATGATGCCGGCGGGACGACGATGACGAACCGACACCTCCGCCGCCGTTGCCACCACCACTGGTGGTCGAGCACATCGTCAGCGGGTCCACTTTGAACCGCTTCGACACGTGACCAGAACTGTTGACCACGTAACAGTGGTCGTCATTCGTGCCGTCCATGTCRTCCATGTCGTCCAGTGCCACATCCGAGTCGTTCATATGATGATTCTGCATGCCACTGACGCTAGATGCGTCCGCGTCGGCCATGTCGTCGCCGACCACCACCGTTTGCGTGTACGTGGCTGCGTTCGCGTACTTCTTCTTCCGCTTGAGAATGTCGTGCAGCGCCTCGAAGTACGGCGGTGGTTTTTTAGGCGCCGAACTATTCGGATCTGTCGAACTAATTAAGTAGTTCCGGTACGACTTCTCTAGGTTGCGCCATTTCTGGTGGCACTTAATGCCACCTTCATTCACCGAATCCGCGATTCTGTAACCTTTAGACATAAGTTCCTCACATATCCGCTTCCACACCCGAATCTTGACCGTGCATTGGTCGTTGAACATATCCTGGTATTTTTTAGAGGCCACTAAACCTAGCATCTCTCTGGTCGCTTCGATATCCTTCTGGCACGGTGTCCTCATACTCCACAGAAGTTGATCGGCGTCTGCAATACAGTGATGCACAGATTTCGTATGGTAACGCTTATTTAATTTAATTTAGTTTTTAGGGGAAGAGGTTATAATARCATGTACTAAATKCCAGATGATTCTAATAAAAATAAAAATAATATTTTATGGGTTACTTCGGTGTTTAGATTCGAATTTTGAACAAGTAGGTAATATATAGTTCACAAATTATTAATATTTTAAGTTTTGATGAGCAAATTAGATTGATCAAGGGTACCCTGCAAAATGTTGGTTCACTACATTATAATCATCGAAACTTTAATTATTCGTAATTCGTAAACTCAATAAAAAAAAAAGTTCAATGGTGTTATTGTGTGTAAATGTATTGTAACGATCTAGAATTATGTAAAAAAATATTTTACATTGTATTAAAAAAGGTAATAGTTTTTGAAATTATGAATGTTCTTAGATGAAGTATAATACTATATAAATATTGTACATACCGGATGTCTCCTCCACCCCGTCAGTGAAATACGATTTTGGAAAACTATTACTGGGCGTCAAAGGGCCTAAACTCGAAACAGAAAAATTGTAAAAATGTGGTTTTTGTGCTTGTTAAAAATATGAGATACCGATATTCTGTTTATGTCAATATTTTGACATTTTGTGTGTAAATACTGGCAGATGAGAAGTATAATATTATTCAGCAATAGACGATTGGGTGGTACGAGACACCCTGTATATTTAGTGGTGGACAATATTAATAAGTAGTATAATATCCATAGACCTTATGTTATAGTGGAGCTGTAGTAAACATACAACAGTGATAACCAGCATTGATAAAGTGCAATATAGAGAGATTGAGTACAATATTGTAGCTCAGTCATAAATCATACACGAAAAGTGCCATTTATGACCGCTAGTCCGCCCCCATCAGTAAACAATTAACACYGGCTTATTAGGTATTATAAGGTTTATGAATATAAATWATTAATWATTAATTATCCGTTTCATAAGTCATAACGCAATGGAGTAGTTAACAGTCGAAATCATTATTACATTATACATAAAATACAACTATCATTGCGAAATGTGATCTTAGCATTGCATTAGCAACCAATCTTGAATCGGTAGGAAGAACATAGGACGAAAGAAACGGTACGACCGAAATTAAAATTGTTAAATATTTGTTCAATTACCTATATAATATGTTTTAATCTAATAAAAAAGACACGTACAGCATTATTATCAATTAAATTTACTTTTTATCATTAAAATAGTGTTTACTTAAAAATGRTATTATAAATTTAACATGTACTGAATATTGGTGTATGAATGTCTGTATAGTAAAAACAAATTATATAATACCATTAAAAAATATTTTATGGCTCATTAAATGTATTATTATTGCTCGTTTTACAATCAAATGATGACTATATAAATAAACAAAAAATAATAGAGTTAAAAACAACTTTAATATGTGGTGATAAAATTATAAGAAAAATCTCGAAAACATTATCAATTATAACAAATGCATTATACCTGCTGGCTTATAAAATGGCCCCTCCAGTCGATTATTACTGAATATAAAAAAAGAACA